GGTTGGAACAAGCTGGAATGACATTTGGGGAATGCTCAGAACAGGTAAGAAGTGGCTGTGATGATGATGATGATGTGTGTAGGGGAGGGAAAGGTTCCCTTATCTAGGCATGATCCAACCAAGAAGTACCTAGTTATGTTATTCACTCTGTGGTCAAAGCACAAAGGTGTGTTCCCCTGGCACTAGCGGGATGACTTCTGCCTCTTCCTATTCCAAGACAACCCCAAAGGTAAAACATGGAAATAGAAAAGGCCATGGGGTAAGATCTGCTGACTCCTCAGTGAAAAGGATCCCACATTTCTCTGCCTACCAGGGATGGCCTGTGGTTCCTTTTACCTAGGTCAGTAGTGGGTTTTACGGATGTCTGAGGAATGTAAAAACCATTTTGTACAGCAATTCCAAACTTGGCGGTGGGAGGGGTGGGGTGGGGGGTCTTGGAATCCCTAGGGAGCCCACGGATAACCCTTAAGACTCCTTAAGTCCCTTAAAAATATAAGTAAAAAATGGCCAGTTATGGTGGCTCACACCTGTAATCCCAGCATTTTGGGAGGCCGAGGTGGGCCGATCACCTGAAGTCGGGAGTTTGAGACCAGCCTGGCCAACATGGTGAAACCCTGTTTCTACTAAAAATACAAAAATTAGGCTGGTATGATGGTGGGCACCTGTAATCCCACCTACTCGGGAGGCTAAGGCACGAGAATCACTTGGACTCGGGAGGCAGAGGTTGCAGTGAGCCAAGATGGCGCCATTGCATTCCAGTCTGGGAGACAGAGCAAGACTCCATCTCAAAATATATATATATATATATGTGTGTGTGTGTGTGTGTGTGTGTGGCTGTGTGTGTGTGTATGTAAAAATGGAGTGCTTGAGTAAACGTGTACACATAAGCCACTCTAAGTTGGTGACCTGAAGCTTCCAGCAAATTCTCAGAGGAATTTGTGATCCAAGAAAAGTAAATTTGCTCTATCCCAAATCTCCCATCTCAAAGGGGAGGACACTGAAGTCCAGAGAGGGTAAGCGACCTGCTGGGTCACACAGTAGAGGCTGGATAGAACCCAAGGTTTCTAACCCTGTGTGGCTTTGTGGGTCTGCCAGGCAGACCTAAACAGTTAGGTCTGCCTGGCTGCACAACGAGAAAAGCAGGCTGGTTCATCAGGATGCTGTGCTGAAAGTCCATGGCACATTACAAAGTCTCTACTTGCTCCTGGGGGAAACATCTCAAAGGCATGATATAATCACTATTTTCTGGGGATGAGGGTGAGCACTGAGCTCTATTTCCATGGAAAACAGAACAAGGAAAAACTAGGCCAAATGTGGAAAGAAATGGAGCTCTCTGTTACTGAGAAAGAGTGCTGGGGCAGGGAGTGCTCTTAAAACTCAAGTGAAGCTTGGGCAACGTGGCAGGTCTTAGTTTCCAGAGGCAGAGATGAAAATGATAATCATACCTCTCTAAGTTGTGGTGAAGATGAAAGAAGATGATGCAAGTGAAAATGGCTTATAAATAAGAAAGCAGTACACAAATGCTAGTAATGATCTTTACAGCAGTGGCCTGGTAAATACTTGTTTTGCTGCTGAGAATAAATTGTATACCACCTGGATGTCAATTACCCAATTCTGGACAACTGTACCATTGTCCTTCAAGCCCTTGCAGCCCACTGTTGGAGCGAGAGCCCTGGTTTTGAAGTCAAACCTGAATCTGCACCTTAGCTCCACCACCTGTGCACGTGTGTGACTTTGGATAAATCATGTAATTCTCTCAGCCTCGAATTGTCCATCTGCAAAACAGGGACACATGCCTACCTCATGAGGACATAATGAAGATTTGATCAGTTGGTTACAATGAAAATATCTATAATGGTGACTGGCACACAATAGTTACTCAATAAACAGCAATTTTGTTCCTATTCCTCAACAGTTTATAACTTTGGATAGTTTGCTGCGCAGTTTCTGTCTGTCTAACATTTCTGTCTTCTCCGCTAAAACGTAAGCTCTGCAGCACCAGGACATGCCTGTCTTGTTTACCGCTGTGTTTCCCAGGCCGGGCACACAGTGTGCTACAGATATTTGTGAAATGAATGAGTGGAAGTGCAAAAGCACGTTTTTAAAGGATGGGAAGGAACTCTGACAATGTGAGAATGCTCACATTGGATCAGCCCCAAGGGAGACCTGGAGCTGTGCCAAGAGCCCTATTAGGGGTCAAGAGAGTTGGCCTCTGGTCCTAGCTCTGCCGCTTAACTACCGAGCCACCTCCGGGCAATTTGTTGGCCCTCTCTGGCCCTCTGTGTGTTTCCTCCAGAGCATGGGAGCCCTGAGATTCCAGGGCTTCCCTCTTAGAGGCTGACCTCCAAGGAGCTCTGGCCAGCTGGGAAGTGTGGGATTTCGGGATGGTTCAGGGACTAAATAAAGAGAAAGGAGAAGTGGGAGAGAGGATAAAGACCGGGAAGGAAGAAAAGTCAACGCGTGGCTGCGGCTCTGGGCAGCTATGGGTGGGGGTAGACTGAGGGAAGGCCGCGCTGGGCCAAAGCACTGAGCTGCTGTGCGCGCCCCGGAGCATATCTCCGCCGCGGCTGATGCGCCCGAGCCTCCGCCTGCCCCTCCCTTCCTTGAGTGCCTCGCCAGTTCCCGCCGTCACTGACTTTCTGACTTCTTAACTTGTCAGCAAATCCCGGAGTTAAAAATGCACACGCACCCCGGCCAGCCGCCAGCAGGGCCGTCTGGCCGAGGCTCCAGATGTGGGGCCACCGCACGGGCAGCCCGCCCCGCCGCGCAGACTAAACAATCGGCCTTGGCCGTGAGCGCAGCGCAATTCCAGATGCAGCGTCCCTCGCGCCGCGCGCTAATTGGGCCGCAGGCGCGAGGCTCTGTCAGCGCCAGCAAGGCCCTGCCCAGGGCGGCCTTGGCCCGGCGCCCGCCCGCTGGGCTACCTAAGGCGGGGGCAGGGTGGAGAGATGCAGAGGAATGGTTGGGGGAGGAGGGTTGGGGGACGAAAGGGGGAGAGAGAGAGGAGAGGAGAGGAGGAGGAAGAGGAGGAGAGAAGACACAGTGAGACAGGCCACGAGACAGCGTCAGCTCTGAGACAGAGAAACACGGAGTATAGCTTCAGAGACAAAGAGAAAGCCAGAAGCACTGAGCCATATTCAGGTTAAGGAGACAGAGAAGGCAGAGAGGGAGAGAGACCACAGAGAGTTGGAGAAACAGAGGCAGGGCAGACTGACACGAGAACAGAATCAGGAGAGACCAAGATAACGAGAAGGAAACGAACGTGGACGCGGCCGGGAAGAACGCAAGCGGTGGGAGCACAGGAGACCCGCATGTTTACCACCGTGTCCCTGCTGCCTTATAGGTGTCTAACCCCTTTTGTTTTATAGTATCTCCTCCCTTTACATTCTCACTTTTTATCATTCTTCCTAGACCCGGGCGAAGCCGGGAACTGAGCCCACCCGCGCGGTGATCCATTCCTAGTCTGGCTGGGGGACTGCGTAGAGAAGGAACCTGAGCCGTCGAGATTTCACTCCCAAGCCTGGGCTTGGAGACAGGGGTTCGCCTTGGACGCTGTGGGAGGGTGCGGGATGGGACTCCGTGGGGATTTGCCTAAAGGCAGGGGATGCCCCGAATGACCTCTGTAGGGCCCGTCCCCAGGCAGCCACCTCGGCATCACCCTCCTTTCCCATGCGCCCTGGGGCCTCTTTAGCTCTAGAGACAGGAGGATGACTCAACAGAGGTTAGTCAAGACCTAGGGCAGGGAAGCCCACCGGGGACCACCCGGGGGAGCCCCCCAGCCTCGCCTTCCGCCCCCGCCGGGAGGCCCGGGCGCCCCGGGGGTGAGCGCGGAGGGCAGTGCGGCGGCCCAGCGGCTCTTGGCGGCCCCTCTCTGACAATCTTTCCTTTGTTTGTTTTCTTAAATCTGGGAGGCCCGAATTCCTGCCGGATTCCGTAGGTTTCACTCAGGAAGGAGGCGCCCCCACCCCCACCCCCTCTCACGTCGGGCCCGGCTGCGGGGGGAATGGCAGGTTCTTCCCGGAGGCCTGCGGCGCGCAGCCCCACGGCCCGGGCAGGGCGAGCGGGCGCCGGGCGCGGCGGAGAGTCCCGGGAGCCCTGCCCGCGCGCGCCACCACGCAGCCCCGCCGGAGGGCCGCGGGCAGCCTCGGCAGAGAAAATTAAAAGAAAAAAAAAAAAGAAAATCAAACCAGGAGCGCTTTAAAAGACACAGAGTAGCCCTCCCCCCACTCAGCTTCATTCCACACCCCATCCACCTCTCACACTCCCCCACCCCTTTTTTATTTTGGTCTCCAAACTTGAGCCTCATTAATTTCCAAAAAAAATTTCCCCCAATAAAAGGCAAACATGGAAAGAAAAACAAACTATTAGAAAATAGAGGAGGGAGGAAATGTTATTTAAAAGGTTAGCAGACCGCATCATTTTCCAATGATATTATATACTCCCAGCAGTATCCAAAATATATATGGGCCCTGGGCCAAGAATGTAAAAAAACTTTTTTTTGAAAAAACCCTTACTTAGACACAACATCTGGACCGGAGAGCGAACAAACCCCCCATTTATCACACTTAATCCTCCAATGAAGCAATCGACAGTTGACTTCTGTTTTGCTAATTTAGTTGCTTTCAAGCGCCGGCCCAGTCCAGACCGGGAATTAAGTGTCACTTGTGGAGGGCCTGCCCTGCCCCCGCCCGTCTTTTCTCCCTCCCGCGCCCAGGCTCTCGGATAGGGAAAAAAGGCCATTAATGAAGAAAGAAACTTTTTACAAATTCCCTTTACCCCCACCCACTCGGGTCAGTGAAAACCTCGACTGTGACCTAGCTCTGTCCCCTCGCCCAGTACCCGACACCCACTTCCTTGGTAGCCACGCCCTCACCCGCCAGCTGCCTCCCCCCAAGACTCGGTGGAGCAACGCATCAGCCGGCACAAACTCCTGCAGCTTCAGGAGGTCACCCAGCTCACCACCTTCTCCGCGGGTTGGCTAGGTGCTGCCATCCTCGTACCTGGCACTGCCTGGTGGCCTGGCAGCTTGACTCTTAGGCCTGGAGAGGGCAGGGGAGGGTCGTGGTGCTTGGTGGTAGGTAGCGTCCATTCCCCCCGGAAGTGGATGAGAGGCAGCAGCTCCCGAGGGGGAGGCCCTTGGCCAGCCGTGTCCGGAGACAATGGGATCTTGTAAGATTGCAAGCGGGAGAGAGAATAAATCATGGAAAGTGTATCACTTGAGGATTAGTCAATAAATCCCTGGGACCCTGGCCCAGTAGGGCTGGTGCCAGAGGCAGAGCTGGCCCCAAGTGCAGACTTCCTTCCTCAGCAACCTTCCCTTCCCTTCCCAGAGGCCTCCTGGGTCTCTCTCTCCTCACCTCTCTCTGTCCATCTCCATGGCTCCTCTCCTAAACTTTGGAGACCAAGGCACAGCCTTTTGTCCTACCTCTACCTCTTGCTGGGAAAAGTTTTACAAGGGAGCGGAGGTTTAAAGGTGTCCTCAGGCACCTGCAAGCAGAAGAGGCTGGAGAATGTGTCCCAACTCCAGCCTGCCCGCTCCTGTTCACTCTGATCCAGCCCACCCCCCAGTTCCCAGCTCCCAGCCCTGGCAGAGTCCACAGGAACAGCCTGCACTCCTAAAAGAGGCCCCCAGTACCCTGAACCCCAGTCCTCTGCAGACTCTCATGGTGGTCTGGCTGGGCTTCAAACTTCTTGAGGAGGGGCCCTGAGTTCTGGCCGCAATCCAAATGCAGTCTCGAACCTCCTGAGTCCATCCCCCAGGCCCATGGAAGCCTCATATCTGGAGCACTCTCCATACTCACTCCAAAGGGCACTTATGAGTACTTAGTATATTCCAGGTAGTGTGCTAGACTCAGGACATTTGGAGACTGATAAAACTCTCTTCCTGCCCCTTCCGTGGGCCTAAGCCTCTACTGGGCTTTATTTTCTGTTCATATGGGGATACTATATTACCCAGCTATACTCTTTCCATAACCAGTCATTGAGCACCTGCCATATGCCAGATACTGTTCTAGGCACTGGGGATTCAGGGCTGAGCAAAGGTCATTTCTGCCCTCCAACTTGCCAGGGAGACAGACATGCCAACAATTAATTCCAAGACAAGGCCAAAAATCAGGGGCCATGGAAGGCATTTATAAAATCCTCAGAGGAGGGACTGACTCACCTTGGCTGGGATAGAAGGAGGGGTGTGGGCCAGGTGCAGTGGCTCACACCTGTAATCCCAACACTCTGGGAGGCCGAGGTGGGCAGATCACAAGGTCAGGCGTTCAAGACCAGCCTGCCCAAGATGGTGAAACCCCATCTCTACTAAAAATACAAACATTAGCCGATTATGATGGCGGGTGCCTATAATCCCGGCCACTCCGGAGGCTGAGGCAGAGAGTTGCTTGAACCCAGGAGGAAGAGGTTGCAGTGAGTGAAGATCATTGCACTGCACTCCAGCCTGGATGACAGAGTGAGACTCTGTATCAAAAATAAATAAATAAATAAATAAATAAATAAATAAATAAATAAATAAAGAGGATGTGATGGATCACAGGGTGGTGGGGGTAATCTCATCACTCTAGCTCTTTTTTTTTTGTTTTTTTGAGACGGAGTCTCGATCTGTGCCCCAAGCTGGAGTGCAGTGGCAGGATCTCAGCTCACTACAAGCTCCACCTCCTGGGTTCATGCCATTCTCCTGCCTCAGCCTCCCGAGTAGCTGGGTCTACAGGCGCCCGCCACCTCGCCCGGCTAGTTTTTTGTATTTTTTAGTAGAGGCGGGGTTTCACGGTGTTAGTCAGGATGGTCTCGATTTCCTGACCTCGTGATCCGCCCGCCTCAGCCTCCTAAAGTGCTGGGATTACAGGCTTGAGCCACTGCGCCGGGCGGTTGAGCCACCGCGCCCGGCCGCACTCCAGCTCTTAAAGCCCATCCCGGGGGACCGTACAGCCTAATGGTTAAGAGCAAATGGTGTGGTTTAACTTCTTGCTCTGCCACATCAGTTGTAGGATCTAGGGCCTCTTAGTCTCTCTGAGCCTCAGTGTCATCATCTGAAAAAGTAGGACTAACAATAGGAACTGCCTTGTAAGTCTCTGACATAGTAATATGGGGCAAGCAGCTGGCATACAGCAATCTCTGAATGACTGTCCACTTAATTATCTTTCTTTCAAAGCATTCGAACAGACAACTTGTAGCCTCCTTGGCACCCTCTTCTTGTCCTCCTCCTCAACTTGAGGGCCTGGCACAGCGTTGGGCACATAGAGTAAGTGGTGGAATAAATCAATGGGTACAACAGAAAGCCCATCAAACCTTGGCTCAAGTGCCACTAGGTAGACAAGGCTGTGGGCAGTGGGCCTGAATGTTCCATTTCTTTGTTCTGATACCTCGCCATAGGCTGGGTGGGCCTTGATGGCTGTTCTTCTTGCTCCCACATTTCCAAAAGTCAAGCAGAGTATGACCCTCTGAAGCCCCCTTTTCTCTGCTCAGTAGAAAGTCAAGAAATGTCTTCTAGCCCAGAGCCATCATTCTGTGACTCTGGTTTGGGCTGAGTCTTGACTTGCTGTGTGTCCCCAGGCAAGACACGTCCCTCTCTGGGCCTTGGACTCCTTATAGATAAAATGAGTAGGTTGGACTGGATGCTCTCCAAGCTCCTCTGCAGCGTTTGTGGTTGATGTCTGCTTCTTCTTTCAGCTGGGGGAACCTCATCTTCCTTCCTAGAGCCTGCTTACGAGGAGGTGTGATTTTCTGCTCTTCCATTTCCCCTCTGCCTCCTGGCTTTTCTTTGTTGTTGTTGTTTTTTATTTGAGATGGAGTCTCACTCTGTCGCCCAGGCTGGAGTGCGGTTGCATGATCTCAGCTCACTGCAACCTCTGCTTCCTGAGTTCAAGTGATTCTCCTGCCTCAGTCTCCTGAGTAGCTGGATTTACAGGCACGTGCCTCCACACCCAGCTAATTTTTTGTATTTTTAGTAGAGACAAGGTTTTGCCATGTTGGCCAGGCTGGTGTTGAACTCCTGACCTCCAGTGGTCCCCCCACCTTGGCCTCCCAAAGTGCTGGGATTACAGGCTTGAGCCACTGCCCCTGGCCTCGCCTCTTGGCTTTTCTCTGTGGTGTCCTTATCTTTCTCCCTTCTTGCTCCCCTCAGCTATCTTCCTCTCTTTCTCACTCCTCTTTTTCTTCTGTCCCAGGGTGTGAAGAGTATGTGGATGAACTGATGCTTAACTTTCTTCCGGGCAGCTTTCCCCTCCCACCTCTACCCGGCTTCTTGACCCCCAAACACAATCTGGGCCTGAGGAGCAGACCTCTCCATCTGTCCTCTTGCCTGGACTTCTGTCCCTGAAGACCTTGCTGGTGCCCTGACCCTTGACTTCTGACTTCTGAGAGAATAAGAGAATGGCATCCCAGCTGGACCAAGACAGCGCCTAATATGGGTCTTCTGTCCCTAGAGATGGACAGGCTCTGAATTCCCACGCTGCCCTCCCCGCAAAGTCCCAGGCTCAGGGAAAGGGACAGGAAACTTTTTCTAAGTCTAGCTGACACTCAGCGCTGGAACCACCTCCTTCACAATGCCATCACCCACCTCCGAAGCTGGGGGAACCCCTTGACAGATGGGCCTGAGGTTATGATCGTCACTGAGGAGCAACTTATTGTCGGGAACCATTTCCAGAGAACCTACTGTGTGCCATGTACTGTGCTATGAGCCAAGAGGAGGAGTCTGTGTTGGGGTAGAAGGGACTGGGGGTGGGACAAAAGCTGGGGGGAATCCCCAAGAAGGGCATCACTGCCAAGCCGAGGGCTTGTGGGCAGAGGGTTTGGCAATGCCTGTGCGTGGGCCCAGCTGGAGTGGCACCTGAGATGGAGCCAGGCCCTGGAGGCAGGTAAACAGGACGCTGTGTGCTGGGTGTGGTGAAGGGAAGGGGGATACAGGGGCACAATGGACCATTGTGTGCTCTGGAGTTGCCTTCACTTCTGGACTCTCTACAACCCTCCCACTGGGCTATACAAATATTGAGACATATGGAAGATGTGGTCATAGATACCAAGATAAATGGAAGATGATAGTCATCTGCTTTTGGACTCTTCTGTTCTTGCCTAGACCACAGTGGGCCAAGGGGTTGTGGTGGGTGCTGCATGGCCCTGCAGGAGGGCCAAAGGAGGGAGCATTTGACTGCTGGGATGTGGTTGACAGAGATCTGATCAAGTCTGGTGATGGGGCTGTGGCCTCAACTGGGCCACTAGCTAGCTGTGTCTGTCTTTAGGAAAGTCACATCACTGCTCTAACCCTCAGTTTACTCATCTGTAAGATGGGATAAGGATTACCCCTGCTCTGTCTACTTCACAGTGATGTGTGGCATTGTGACACAGCCTTGGATGTTGTTAAGGGGTGTACACAGGGCAGAGCTGGTTGGTCTTGCTTCTGTTGTTACTCTGCTGCAAGATCCTTTTTGCCTGACAAACTTCCCATCTGGGTTCAGATGTAGGCAGAATTGATGGCTACCCATGTGGGACTATTGAGAGACTTAAGGACAGGAATCAGGACTTAAATTATCTAAGTGTTCAGCCAATTCACCATTCATTCAGTCAACATACATTTTTTTTTTGAGCTTCCTCTCTTATGTTAAGCCCTTTGACGCCCTGGGCCTTTGAAGATGAATAAGGTATGTTTCTTGTCCTCAGAGAACTCATAATCAGATGGGAGAGGGGCTGAACACACATACACACAGCATTAACATATAATAATAGGCCGTGCGCGGTGGCTCAAGCCTGTAATCCCAGCACTTTGGGAGGCCAAGACGGGCGGATCACAAGGTCAGGAGATCGAGACCATCCTGGTTAACACAGTGAAACCCCGTCTGTACTAAAAAATACAAAAAAACTAGCCGGGCGAGGTGGCGAGCGCCTGTAGTCCCAGCTACTCGGGAGGCTGAGGCAGGAGAATGGCGTGAACCCAGGAGGCGGAGCTTGCAGTGAGCTGAGATCTGGCCACTGCATGCCAGCCTGGGCGACAGAGCAAGACTCCGTCTCAAAAAACAAACAAACAAACAAACAAAAACATATAATAATAATATTTATTGAGCACTTACTATGTGCCAGGAATGGTTCTAATCACTCTATATACTTTAATTCATATAATCATTTTCATTTTGAAGATGAGGAAACCAAAGCACAGAGAAGGTAAGCAACTTGCCGAAAGTCTCACAGCTAGGAAGGAACAGAACCAGGACTGACCCCAAGCAATCTGTCTAGAGCCTGCGCTCTTAGCCAGTACCTAGTACACACAACACGCATGAACCTACACTAACAAGGGCAAAAGAATAGTAAAGAGTGGGCTGAGCATCCGAAGAAATGGAAAAGGAGAGGAGGGACTGGCTATTGTCCAGCTTCCACTAGAGCAGGAGAAGATGAAACAGGTTTGACTAAGCTGGACAGATTTGCAGTGTCTCAGACAGGAGGTCCTGGGATGGGTTTCCAAGGCAGGAGGCTGAATCAAGCTTCTTTGAAGGCAGCAGAGAGCTAGTTGGGATAGATTCCCTGCCAGCCTTCTGCTCGAGGTCCTTTCCAGTCCAACGCTCTGTGAGGGAGAACTTTGGGAGGTTCCTGGTAGGAGAATGTGATACCTACTCCACATACAACTTGAGTTCCCCAATTCCAAACCCCATTGGGCCCTTGCTCCTTCTCTGGGCTGTAGTGTGCTGGGAGCTAGGAGTTATTAAGTAGGACTGAGTGTGCCAGGAGATATTGCTCAGGGACCAAGTGATGGAAATTCACCTCCAACTGGTTTAAGCAAAAGGAAGGGATTTATTGGCTTAAATAACCGGGAAGGATAGGAGTGTGT